ATAAAACTTCAAAATAAATTTTCAACTTCTATTAAAATGATATTAATTTTATTTACTATACATATTATGCTTATTATTCTATATCATTTCTATTATACTTCAAATATACACTTATTTTATTTATAAAACAATGTTCTATTCAGTTATATAACACAATTGAATAAATAATATTTACCAGTATAAAAATGAAATTCATATTTCATAAAATTGATTTAATTATTCAAATTATTCCATCATTCAATAAAATACACTTAAATGTACATACAATAATCATGAATATTATTCAAGAAAGAAGAGAAATCAATGAGTTGAATAAACAAACATATATATTATATAATTATTTTTATTTCAAACTATGAATAAATCAATATCATATTCACATATAAATATTATTTTTCATATAAATAAATTTATATTTAACTTATTTAATTCATTCATCAATTTTGATTTTGAATTAAACAATAATATAATTTTTCATTCTTCGAATCTGTATTATTTAAGATGAGTTTATATTTATTATTTTTCTTTATTATTTATTCTATTTCTTTTTGTATTATTTCATTTATTTTACTTCTTCTATTCTTATTTCTATTCTATTTGTTTTTTGAATGATTATTAAATGATATAATGAATACTGATATATATATATTGATATATCTGATTTGTATTTATTTCAATGAACTGTCGTTTACATTTCTTTTTATTCATTTTTCTATAATTTCTTCATTACAAACTCTTATTTCTATTATTATTAATTCTTCATTACATTAATATACATTATTTGTTTTATATTCTTTCATTTTTGTTATCTTATAATTTTTATTTATTTGTTATTTCAATTAATCATATTTTATATAATTATTCTATTTATTATATTCATTATTATTTATTTTGTTATTTATGTTCTTTTTACATTACTCAATCATTTATATGTATTTGTATTATTTCTTTTCTAATTTTATCAGATATACAAATGGAAATGTATTTGTGTTATAAATTGATTAAAATATATATTTCATTTGTTATTATCTTTGGTTACATAATTAATAATTTATAATGTGTATTAATTCAATTTTCTTATATCATTACATAATATTTGTATATTTTATTATTTAATATACATTATTTCAATATTTTTGATTTACCTTTTCTTCATTCTCTTTATTTTATATAAAATTATTGAAATTATTGTGATTATTTATTCTTCTTCTATTTCATAATATACTATTTTCTATAACTTCTTTTTTATTTATTTCTTTATCATTTATTTCTATTTTATTCATTATTTATTTCTATTTTAAATATTTATTGTTATTTCTTTTTTTATTATATAAATCATATGATTTATTTTCATTTTAATATTTTCTATCATTTCTATAGTCAATCATCATCACTTTTTATTCTATATCTACCAATTAATGTATTAAGAATTATACATCTTACTGATATTAAATTATTTCATATTTATTTATCAATTCAATATAATCAATGTGAATTTTGATACTTCTTTATAAAATCAATCTCAATTATGAATATTTCTATACATTTAATATCTTCTTTCTTATTTTATTTGTATTATATCTATTATCTAATTTTGTATATTCTTTTATATTTCATTTCAAGATCATGGAATAAACATTCCAATTTGTGCCATAATAACACATAATCCAATCATTCTTAAATATGTTGATTTTCCTCCCATATTTGGTCCTGTAATATTTTGAAATCTTGTTTCTTTTCTATTAATATCAATATCATTTTCAATAAATGTATTTATACTATTATTTTCAATTAATGGATGTCTTGCTTTTTTAATTTTAATAATTCCTTTTTCACTTTCATTCTTGGTTTAGCATATCCTTGATTATTATCATTAGAAACTGTAGCAAATGATTGAATACAATCAATATATCCAATAATATTTTCTAATTCTTTAAATGTTTCTTTATATCCTTCAATTACTTTATTAATTTCTTCTATAAATTTTTTATTAATTTCTTCTTCTTTTAAATTAACTTTATCTCTTTTAACATTAAGTGTTTGCATTTCTTTAAATGTAAATTTACATTCTCCTTTAAGTGTTTGAATAACAGTATACTTTTTATTCTTTTTAACTTCTTTTTCATTACTTTTAGATACTCTTAATATTAAATTATTATTATATTCAATTATTTTAATTTTATCTGTTTTAATATTAAGATCATTTGCTGCTTGTTCTAATCATTTTTCAAAAAGTTCTTCTACTTTTTTATGATTTTCTCTTATTTTTTGAAGTCCTTCATCAAAGTCTTATTTTAAATACATGATTTTTTGTTTCTTCAATGTCAATAAGTGTTACTACCATTTCTTCAAATTTTTCCATTTCTTCTGAAATTCTTTCTAATGCTTCTATTATTTCTTTTTCTATTTCTTTGTTATTCATTTCTTTTAATTCTTCTTTGATACTTTTACTAATTCTTACTGCTTCATATAATTTGACAATACTTTCTAAATCACTTTTATTTATCCCTTTTATTAACTTCTCTAAATCTGGCATTATTGCTAATTCTTCATTTTTAATTTTTAATCGAATCTCTGAATTCTCATAAAACCCTTCTACTAATTCTAGTCGTTTATTTATCTTATCCTTATCTATTAATGGTTGTCTAATCCATTCTTTTATCATCTTTTCTCCTATCTTTGTATGTGTTCTATTTAAATGTTTAAATAGTGTCATTTCTTTTTTATCTCCAAACAAGTGAAGTCCTTCAATAGCTTCTTCTTCAATTATCATTTCATTGTCTATTGTAACTTCCTCCATTCTTTATTATTTTTCTTTTTTTCTCTTTTATTTCAGATTTTTTCATTGTAAGGGATAACAATTTTTATTGATTCATTCTTGATAATATTCATAAGTATTGTAAGAAAACAAAACA